TATAAGCTAATTTTTATGAATATTGCCATGCCATGATATCGGGATTTGCAATTGTTTGGCCAAAATAAAAGGGAAATGTTCACATAGCTTCACGCTTACCTGGTTTCCACATCTACAACAAAGAGAATAATGTAAGCACATATAGTGTCTGATTGTTTGAGGAGGCTGGAATTAAAGATTTTCATTGCTAACTGTGATGGAAACTTCTGAAGCAATGGAGACTCAGAGAGACACGGGAAGAGCAGGAACTTTGATGGCAAACACTGATGGTTTATTTCGAGCTTCGGCCGGAGAATTCCCAAGACATGTGTTCTGTTTCGGAAAATCTCTACCCCAGACCCATGTATTTAGCTGGTTCTGAGAGAATAATCAACATAGTGCATAGCAAGATAAAGCACTATAATAACACCTCTATCAGCTGACGCAAACAGGCAAAAACACTGAGAGCAGCCCAAGGTTCTGCTCAATGAGGAAACTGATGATAAACTGGGTCAAAGTTATGGGCCTAGGAAAATATTTCCCCAACACTAACTACGCCCTTAACTCCTGCAGCACCTGGTGCCGGAGCTGGGCAGCCTGCAGGTGCTGCTGGTGTTCTGCCTGATCTCCGCCTACGAGCTGGGCCCCGGACCCATCTCCTGGTTCATCGGCGCCGAGCTGTTCGACCAGCCGGCCAGACCCATCGCCATGGCCTTCACCAGCATGCTCAACTGGGGGGGGAAGTTTGTCCTGGCGCTGCTCTTCCCTCCCTTACTGGTGGGTTTACTGTCTGCCTGCTGCTGTGTGAGCCAGTTCATCTCCGACACATTAAATACAGGCTGTACATCTGGTTTAAACAACATGTACTGTAACAGACATTCATCTGAAATGTTAAATGTATGAATCTGTTGCTAAATCCTTTAACGTCAGGTTGAAATAATAGTAATTAAATGAATAGTTAGCCTGGGAAGCACCGGAACCTTATAGCGCTGCAGAGATGGCAGCCGACCGGAAACGAGCAACGAGCAACGAGCAACGAACTAAATCAAACATCTTTTTTATTGTTCTACTTTTTACTTATTTCAGTTTATACAAACATTTTCATACTTTTGGCTTCTGTTTTATCGTGTTTTTTTGCAATATAGCTGTATCTACATAGTTTAACTAAAGAAAGAACAAAAAAGAAAATAGAACATAAGAAAAGAAAAAAAAAAGAAAAAAATTACAATTTATGAAAAAAATTACCCAAATAATACTTTTTTTTTTTTTTTTTTTAAAGTAAGCGTGTACATTTGCTTTTTTGATGTTCTTGTATCTTCTTATCTTTTTAAATGATACTGTTTTATATGTTGCCTTTTCTGGAACAAGGTTTTGACTTTAAGAGACCATATAGGTAACTACAGATAAAATACCCTGTATATAATAATGCCCTCGTTTCCCCCTCCCATAGAAAGTGTGCGGGGCGTACGTCTACCTGCTCTTCATGGTCGTGGCTCTGGTGGCCTTCGCCTTCACGTGGTTTCGCCTCCCGGAGACCAAAGGACGGACGTTCGATGATATCGCGGAGGAGTTCAGAGGAGCGGAGGAAATCCCTCTGCACAACAAGGCTGGGTTCAACACGTTCCCCTGATGCACCTCTGTCAGCTAGCTGGTCATACTGGGTCAGTTCACCAATGTACCATCATTTTATCACCAAATATTAGTGGTACGAGAGCAAAAGTTGTATTTTTGTTGTTAAACTAAGAATAGTTATCTAATTCACAATGTCCTAGTTACTCGGGACAATCCTCACATCTCACTACAAATTCCAAAGGCAAAAAATGTACGGGAGTTATCGTAATTGACAACAATATTACATCTGGAAAGACATCCTTAAAAATCAAGTGCACCAAAAACCAAAGAGTGTTGAAGAAGCTGCCGTGGTCTCAGTTGTTTGTTCATCGATAAATATGGTTCTTATTATAAGAATTGAAAGTGTGTCTGAATGATATTTCTAACGTATGTTTTGAGGCATTTTGTAAACAATGTATTGTTATTTTGTAAAAATGGAGAGGCAGACAAGATGAGTTACGTAGCGTGAAGAAAACCTACGAAAGACAATGATCGACTGGATTAGTTTTCGGAGGTTTATTTTGTAGCTGAACTATTACGACGTTCATGAAAAACTCACGTTGTTAGTTCATGTCAGCACTGAAAAGCTGATTTGAAGAAGGTTCCAGACATTCTACTCTGTGTGTCCATTACTTGATGTTGTTTGTGTAAATAAACATAATGTAATATCATGTGAGCTCTTGTTCATTAACTGAATCATCTTAGAGTAGAGGAAGGTTTCGACATGGACTGTGGTTACACTTTTTATATACAAAATGATTTGTTTGGAATTGCTCTTTTGGGTGATTTATCAGACTATCAAATTAAAAACGATAAATGCCAAAGTGCAGGGGTCTTCAATTTCAGAAATGGACTCCTGCTGAGCATGTATAGATTGCTGGGGCTACAATATGTGTCGGGGACTTGAAGCACCAAGGATACACGTACCTTTTTAAGGTGCATTGAACACTAGTGATTTAGCATGGGATGTAAATATAATGGGTTTCTTTTACAAAAAGGTTGATGTATCTTTGCTAACAATAAGTTGGATTCATGCTACTGTGGTGTCTTTAATTAGATTTAGATTTTTGAAAAAAGGGAAAAAATGATTTAAATAATAATAATAATGAACAGAGCACTTTTAAAGAGCCCTACCATAGTGTACAGTATGTAATAATGACTAGACTGAATGACACAGCAGCAGTACAGCAGTGCCCGCATCGAACATTCTTTCCTTGAATGTTAAGTTGCCAGCAGCCTCCTAGTTCATTATTGGTCTGTGAAATCTCACATATCTCTGAACTGTGTACACATGTACGACGTGAAAACTAACCCCGGCTGTGAGAATACATATTTCATCCAACACGATGACCTGCAGGAAGCTCAGAGGAAGAGGAGCCAGAGATCAGGAGGGAAATCTGAAATTTGGCCTCTGCATTTAACCCATCCTAGTACCAGGAGCAGTGGGCAGCTATTGTACAGTGCCCGGGGGGCAATGGGAGTGGGGGGTGGGGGGTGGGGGGTTGTCCTTTTGACTGTGGTGATGCAAGGCAGCACCAAATAACTCATTATGGTCTAAATGTGTTTCTTTGAAATGAGCAAAATGTACTGTTTTAAAACTCTGAATTCTGACTCTCTGCAAAAGTATGAAAACAGTGCACCCTAGTGTAGGAGAGGATACACATCTATTAAACTACAGCTCTGTGTGTTTGGGGGGAGTTTTGGAGTCGTCTTGCGGGCACTACTTCTAAATGTTACTATGTACAGCAAAATTGAGTACAAAAAAAAAATCAATCTCCACCTACTGGTTCATCAAGCCTCATAATCAAAACATTATACACCAACTTTGTTTACATTACCGTCATCTTCATGTTGCTTCATGTTAAAACATAAAAGTGTAACTGAAGCTTTCAGCTTTTTTGCATTGGCAACACGTTTGTCATATAAAGACTTATTTGGAGAATTTCAAACAAAACAACCTTCTTACATTTTTCTTAATTGGGATATTCTTATCTAGACATGATGTACACTTCAGTGTTTAAAAATGTTGATGATCGGAAGGTTGCGAGTTCAAATCCCGCCTGGAACACCACCACTAGTGTGCCCTTGAGTAAGGCACTTAGCCCTCTGTTACTCCAGGGAGAATGTCCCTGTAATTGGTCATTGTAAGTCGCTTTGGAATAAGGCGTCTGCTAAATGCCTAAATTGTAAATTGTAAATTATATTTTTGGGAGAATAAACCCCAATGATCCTCAACTCCGGTGTGTCTCACTCATTAACAACGCAACACAGAGCAACAAGAACGTTGTCTATAGTAGCCATGAACTCGCATCTATTTTGTTATTTGTAACTGGTTGTATCTGACTATAGCATTGAGACAACCAATTTAAGACTCCAAAACTTAGTGAAAATAAGGAAAAACTTGCATGAATAACAATGTCAATGCTAATAACTGACATGTAAAAGTAAAAGTACCTTAGCATTTAGTAAACAGAATTTTTTTAATATTTTTGTGGGGATTTTTTTCATAACATTGTAGATTTATGTAGCCAAACTGGCATTTAAAGGTGGGGTAGGTAAGTTTGAGAAACCGGCTCGAGATACACTTTTTGTTATATTCCATGGAATGCTCTTAACATCCCGATAGCAATAAATATCTTAAGTGCTTTGACAAAAAATCCATACATAAATGTCATCTGTGGAAGCCGTAATACTGTAAAAAGCACGACCAATCATTTTAGCCGGCCCGGCTAAAATAACTGGATGGCCTACCTGCCTGTCAGCCTTCCATCTGTGCACAAACTTATCTCGTGCCCTCATTGGTCATGTGCGCGTTCGTGTGTGTTGGAGGAGGGGCTCTGTAAGGAAGTGGCAGATTTTTTCCGGCTGTGTATTTTCAAATTCTAGCGATCTCGAGCTGGTTTCTCCAAAATTACCTACCCCACCTTTAAGGGTTAAAACTCTAAATATTGATGAATATTTGGGAGTTTGGATCAGAACTGAAGTTTGTTCATATTAATATCTAATTTGATGGCAGTTTTATTACACTATTTTCTTCTAAAGATATCAACATGTTTGTAAGGCTCAAGGGCTCAAATCGACTATGGCTTTCTGATCAATGTTACAAACTTCTATTTTAGGCTACAAGATTTAAAGAATTTAACCAAGATTATGGTGATAAAACTCAAAAACCTCAAAAGCATCTTCTATTATTGGACGTTCAGAAATCATTCATGTTTTGAACGTCGCACACAAACAGCCTGTCTGAAACCCGATGAATGCAGTGGATCCTGATCGACTGTAGAGGGACCTCCAGCTCTGCTTTTACCTTCATTACAGAGGAGACGTGCACACGGAAGCTCAAACACCACATCACACAACGAGGAGACCCTCCCCCTGCAGCTGCATATCTCTGTGCTACGAGACTGACCGTTAGTGTGCAACTAAACATGGGTAGTGGTACAAACATGGTACAGCTCCTCAGACTATTAGTTGTTCTGCTGTGGACTACAAGTAAGTTACAATTACAAAGAAATACATCTAAATATGACCAAGCCTAGTTCAATAATGTAAACATGTACTTGATCAAATGTCTGTTAAAGGGTCTTTACTGTGTTGTCCTCAGTGATTGTGATGCTAAGTTTAAAGTATTTGTTGATGTTGTAAATGGAGACGCTGTGATGCATCATCATATCTTATGGTATCTCTAAACATTGCTTTATGTTAAATATGACACTGAACTTCAACTTTCAAGTGCTTGGCGCTGGAAACAAGTTAACCACTGTACATTGAAGTTATGTTAATGTTTGTATATCTGATTTAACACACACACAGGTCTAACTGATGGCAGCGATGTCAACCAGACTGACATCCTGTGGAAAACACAGGGAGACAATGCAACCATGAGCTGCAGACACACAAAGGATGCTAGCCACTTCCAGATGTACTGGTACAGACAGCTGCCAGGAGAAACTATGGAGCTAATCGTGTTCACAAGATCTGGGGTCAATAATCATGATTTTGGAGAATTCGGTAGCAAAGACAAGTTCTCAGCCACAAAGCCTGACGCTGAGAGCGGGACGTTCACAGTGAAGGATCTGCAGCCAGGAGACAAAGGCTTGTACTTCTGTGCTGTGAGTCAACACAGTGACACACACACAGGAGGAGGCTGAACAAAAACCCTCACTGCTGCTACACCTCTCCATCCTGCAGCTCAGACTGTAGGGGGGGCTGGAGGACAGCAAACACTCAGCTACACTCTGACTACCCCACACATCTTTTATGTCGCCTGTAACTCTCTCTGTTTTTACACTATCAGTGGTGTCTTCTGACTTTCTGAACAAGGTCTCGCTCTACTCAAAGTACTAAACTAAATTTGAACACAGTGTCACGGCTTCCCTCCTCTATAGGCCACTTTAGACGCCTTTTAAAAACAGACATTTTGAACGCGTTATCTTTCAAGTTATTAGTTTCCACTCTTGTTTGTGATGACCTGGGATGTGTGTGTGGCTGGCTTGATGTTATACGGCTCGTGTGGTGAATATCAATTCATAAAAACTGTATCTACAAGAATTCAACAAAGAAAATAGGTCTTTACAAGATTTAAAAACATTGCAAATTCTGAGGTTTTCTTTTATGTTCAGTACAAAACTCAACTGAATGCAATACAAATTAGGTTTTGGTGGGGCTTAGAATAAATGCATTCGGGTTAGAGCTAAAGGATTTTGCCAGTTCTGAGATGACTTTTTTAAGACCCCTCCCTGCTGACGATGTAGACTCTTCTGTGCACCCCCGCACCCCCTTCTTTATTAGACTCTAAGAGTGACGGCTTCTCGTCCACAGGAGCTGAGCTGACAAAGTACTATGGTGTCCAATACAAACCAACTTATCATGATATTTATCGTTTGTATATTCCTTCAACTGCAGGGAAGTACTGGTGAGACACACAAGAATATAAAAAAGAAACAAAGAAGCTGGAACGGCTCATAATTTAAAATGTTTCCTGCTTCTTCCACAGGTGCCTCTTACAGCGACAGCGTCTTCCAAACGCCTCCGTTCATCATGAAGAGAAGTGGAGAGTCTGTGGACCGGGAGATCAACTGTTCACACAGCATACCAAGCTATGATCGCATTCTCTGGTACAAACAAGACCAACATCAAAATATGAAGTTACTGGGATATCTGAATGTGAAGTACCCGTTTCTAGAGGACGACGTGAAAGGAAAAATCAGCTTTGATGGAGATGCCAGTGAACACTCTCAGTCTCGCCTCAGTGTCTCTAGTCTGTCATCAGAGGACAGCGGTGTGTATTTCTGTGCAGCCAGTCAGCACAGTGCTGCAGATTCCCCTCAGCTCAATACAAGAACTCTCCTCCGTCTGTCAGAGACAACAAGCTGAGGCTCAGCACCTGCACACCGGCTGCATCAACCCCACTGCCAAAGATATTATCGCCTGCTTTCACCTCTTCTGTGGTCACGCTGTAGTGCAACAGTTTAATAATTAGTCTGGGTATGAAACAACAGGAATTTTAGGGAATGGAAAAAATATCCATGATGAAGATGGGGGAAAAGGGGGAAAGAATAGAACCGAAAACATGTATAATAACCAGGTGGTAAGATGTGACAATCAATGTACGTATTAAAGGGCCCATGTCATGGCCATTTCCACTGATCATAATTACATTGTTGAGGTATACTAAAATAGATTTATACTGTGCAATTTTCCAAACTCACATTGGTTTCGCATACAGCATCTCTGTCAAGCATGTGTATTCAGCAGTATTCACTTTCTCCACTAAACGACTCGTTGGAGCTCTTGCCCCCCCCTCCCTGTGAGCCTAGTGTGCTCCGATTGGTCAGCTCGGCCACTCGTTCTGATTAGTCAACCACCAGAGAGGCTGCACCCATGTCAGTGCTTTTCCCGGCTGCTCTCAGCGTAACATCAGTCTTATCATGGCGTCGGTACAGCGGTATATTTTATATACATATATATTTTTAACTGTTGTTATAGAAGAGTGTGACGGCCCCAGGGCCTTTGTCTTACGATGGGGTGGAGCTGAAGAGGCTAATCAGCACGATCACGGACACCTCCGGACACTACGGCCCCAGTCTCTCTCCAAAGCGGCTGCAGGAAGACTAACTCTGCGATCCTCTCAACCACCTGTCTCTGCATTTACCACAATAAATGTGCCGTGGTTTTGTAAACTCGTGTATGTCTCCTTGTCTTTCCGTTGTGGCCTACGAGCTACTCTCATAACAAAGAGTAAGTTATTTTTACCCGTTATAAACTACTACTGTTTGATGAGAAATCAAATCATGGTTTGCTATATATGAATTCAGGGAAGAAAGGATAGGCCTACTAAGTATTTCCATTAAACTTTATTTTTAGAAATGTACAAAATGAACATAAATATACATATATACACGGTATATCATCCATTCCTCCTCCTCTTGCCTGCGCACAGCCGGTGCGGTGCGGTGCCTTTTAGCACGAGGCCTCAGTAGTAGTAGAATCCCTTCCCCGTCATGGATTGTCCGCCAGGATCTGGCTGGACGAAATCAAATGCAAATCACAAAATATTAGAGAAACTTAGTTGTTTTAGATTCGTTAGTAGTAGTTGTGTAATGAACAGCTTGCCTGCTAATATGCTAACCTAGCTTTGTTTACCTTGGTAGCTAACACGATATGAACGTTAGCTTGGAGGAAAGGCAACTATAATGCAGTGTAATAAAACTACTATGAACAAAAGCTAGTGGTTCATAATAGGCTAGCAATAACGTGTTTATAATTGCAATCGTATACGGGTATTCTGCTACCATACAATGTAACTTGCATGAATACATTGTTTTGCGCTAGCATACAGCTAGCCTCGTTAGCTACATGCAGTATATGTACGGTCACAATGTACGGTAAACCGGAGTATACTGTATGAGTATTCCGTGTGTGTGACTGCAGACATTCTCCTGCCATGACAAACATGTAAGGCCATCTGCTGACATTGTAGTTGATATATTTAAACGCTAGCAACGTAGCATCACAAAAATGTTTTTTCTGACCAAAACTAGCTCTAGCTCCGTGTGTTAGATCGCTACGCCAGCTATAATGTAATTACGTTTCGCGACTGACCGGCAAATCACCCGCAGTATACTGTCAATAGGTATTTTGTGTGTGAATGCAGACATTCTCCTGCTATGAGATACATGTATGCAAGGCCATCTGCTGATATTAGAGTTGATATATGGAAACTCTAGCAACTTAGTTAGCACAGTTAGCACTGTGTCAATGGCTTAGCAGTCCAACACAGTTTACACATTTAAACAGTCTTGTTTGATAAATACACAAATAACAATGCAAACTTACAGGTTGTATACCCAGATCTTCCCCTGCTCCAAACGGTCCAAACAAGCTGTGCATATCCGGCCTCAAACTGGGCAATGTTTTGGAAGCTTTCGTCTGTGAAATGCCGGTTCTTCGAACCTCTGGAGGAGGAACACGCCGCTGCTGGTGTGGCCATAGCTCTTCGGGATTGGTCCATTTCGTTCCGGGTACCGCATGACATCATGCGGTACCCGGAAGAATCAAATGGGCAGTGACGTATCTCCAACGAGGCGTTTTGGGGAGGTATTTTCTGTGTTAGAGTTTTACTCGCTACAGGGTGTACTTTGAGGGTTTTGACTCTGCACACCGTTTACATGCATAAAAACCTTCATAACACACAAGGGGACGGGTAATAACCGGAAAAGCATGACATGGGAGCTTTAATATAGTATCCATTATGTGTGAGCTACACCCTAAAGGTTATTATCAATTTGTGTATTTGTTTTCCTCTCTCTTTTCCTGGTTTGTTATGTAGTTATTTGATGTATAAAAGTGTTGTGAAACTGTCATGTCACAGTTACCACAGTTATCGACATTCACGATAACATCAAGAGTATCAAATAATTGTATCTAAAATAAAATATGGTTGTATTTTCACGAGGGCTCTTCCTATATACATTCCTAATATTATGAATATGATATAGTATATAATCGTTACATATGATATATGTTTGATCATTAAAATGTGGGCTTTTGTATTACTGTTTTCTTATGTACCTTTTCTATGGTAATTATCACAAAAAATACATCATAGTTCCGCTTAAACATATTGTAATTGCTTTATGTTAAAGGGGACCTATCATGCAAAATGCACTTTTGTACGTCTTTTATACATGAATATGTGTCCCCGGTGTTCCAGGGAACTCACCAAGTGTCAGAAAACACAACCCTCTCTATTTTCCTCCATACCCAAATCTCTAAAAAAGGGGCTGCAACGGATCTGATAAAAACTGATCCAGATTTGAACACTGTCCTGACGTCAGGACGGTGGCGCTACGGCTATTGGGCCAACTCCACCAATCAGGAGGAGACAGCCACGGCCATTGCCGTTCGAAAGCTCTGGAGACGCTGTAGTACATATGCCAGGCCTGTAGATGGTGCTGTTCTCACTGAATCTGCCCTTGCAGAGCAGAGCTAAAAAAAAGTGCAAATTGAGCGAAATGAGGCATGGCTAAAATGCATGATCTGTTTGGTATTTTGAAAACAGAAACGTATACATATACCTTATATAGGTATGGCCCTATAATATATCATTTAAATATACCATGATAGGTCCACTTTAATATAAATAATATTCTCATTGGATCCCACAGAGGTCACATGCCTTTTTTAATCCACAAACATAACATTTAGGCCAGCCGCACAGATACAGTATTCGTGTGAAAAGGACATTGTGTGAAAATGTTCATGATAATTCCTGTATTTAAAAAACATTAAAATCAGGCTCTCCTTTCTACTTCGTTACTCCAAATATTGTGAGTATGACTTATGCATCTTGTTACAGAACATGTGTGGGTCATAATTATAATAGGACTAATGGTGTCTGAAAAGAGTAACAGGCAAAAAGCTGGACACCCAAACCACTCTGTTTCCTACAGTCTGTTTAGATTTCAAATTTTTGGTAGAAAACACACAAACCTCTCCATCAAGGATTATATTAACAGATTTGAACTTAAGTTTAATTACACTGCGACGCCATGGTAAAGAACCATTTTCCATAGTCCCTTTGAAGATCATCACAAAATCTGTCTGAGACTACGTTCATGATGAACAGCAGGGGGACCTTCACTATCATTTATACTGATCATTTTAAAGCAGAGGCCCTCCCCTACAGCTCTTCATGGCCCTCCCCTACAGCTCTTCATGGCCACACACACACACACACACACACACACACACACACACACACACACACACACACACACACACACACACACACACACACACACACACACACACACACACACACACACACACACACACACACACACACACACACACACACACACACACACACACACACACACACACACACACACACACACACACACACACACACACACACACACACACACACACACACACACACACACACACACACACACACACACACACACACACACACACACTCACACACTCTGTCTGACAACATGGACATGCTCATCAAACACACCCTCCTCATACTGTCAGTGTTCTTGCTGTGGACGACAGGTAAATCACAATAACATCAACTGTTAATATCAAAGAATGTACATTACATTTTGCTATAACAAATGGTTCTATTGGGAGTTGAACCAGGTAACAGAGCAATGAATGAAGGTTTGTTATTATTAAACACAGGTCTTGTTGATGGGAATGATGTCTACCAGACTAAGATACTGGAACAAAGGTGAAGATGCAACCATGAGCTGCAGACACACAAAGGATGCTAGCTACTTCCAGATGTACTGGTACAGACAGCTGCCAGGAGAAACTATGGAGCTAATCGTGTTCACAAGATCTGGGGTCAATCATCATGATTTTGGAGAATTCAGTAGCAAAGACAAGTTCTCAGCCACAAAGCCTGACGCTGAGAGCGGGACGTTCACTATGTAAATCTACAAATCTTGATGAAGTCAAACCGAAACATGTTCTCTGTATAATATTACTGTATGGTCAAACTGAGTTCCAGGGTTCATTTCAGGTCTGTGCCAACAGGGGGCAGTACAGCATCTCTGTGGTGTGTAGTAAGAGTATGACCCCAGGAAGAAAGGTTTCCTGATGGGAGGCTCTTCAGTAGAACCATAGATAGAACAGCACATACAGTGATGAACACACAGAGTAACGTGTTCTTAGAGTCAGTCATAAAACACACAAGATGATCCTCCTCTTCTGCACAGCCCTTCATGTCATACTGGTTTCAGGTAATAGAACTAAAGATTTCTTATCAATAATCACAGTTTTTGATGTAAAACCCCCTGATAGCATATTGTTTTTCCACAGGTTCCTCTCTGAGTGACCTCGTCTCACAGACTCCAGCTAATATGTACAAAAACCTCGGAGAAGAAGCCGTCATCAGCTGTTCTCACAGTATTAAAAACTACAACCAGATTCTGTGGTACAAACAAATGAAGGACAGACAACTGCAGTTCCTCGGGTACATCTTAGCAACTCATAAAAACCCAGAGCCTGGCCTGGGGGTGAAGATGGATGGAGATGCAAATATAAATAAGAACTGCACACTGACAGTTGAAAGGCTGAGTGAGAACAGCAGTGCACTTTATTTCTGTGCTGCCAGTCTACACAGTGCTGCAGGTCTCTGCACCTCCTGTACAAAAACCTCCTCAACACGGTTCATTTACAGCTCTGTGCACCTGGAACATCACTTCCAACCAATGTCTATGTTCCTGCTGATTACCATCAGAGATTATAATAACAGGAGGTCGTCCTTCCTGCAGAGAAATGTAACTTCCTGTTATAACAAGCGGCATTAGAGACTCAGGATTAACAGGATCACCATCGAGACTAAATATAATTATATTACTTTAGTTGTCCTACATGCAGTCGAGTATAATTGAATATATTGCAGTTTTAGAGCTGCAACGATTTGTGGTTAATCGATTAGTAGATCGACAGAAAAAAAAGCCGTCTATTTTGATAAGCTATTCAATTCTATCATATAGAGTGGCGAAGTCTCTCCCCTTCCGGTGGACCTCCATGGGACCTTATTTCGGAAAAATGATGCATTGAAGTCAATGGAGAGAGAAAGATTATCTTTCGATCCCGTTTGAATTGTGCCACGAATTACACATATGATGTTTGTCAATTTAAAAGATAATTTTGCAAGTCAAAAAAAAAAAAATGTGTGGTAAACCTGTGAAGTAACACATTTGTTTGTGTGAAACGCTCAATGAACTACATCTCTGGTCTCACAGAATAACACATGTCACCAAGATGGCCGTCACTACTGTCTTGTCAACAAAACGATTGACTACCCTCACTATCACCACAATGAAACACGTCCAGAAGAATGTCATGCAAAGCTGCCTGCCTGCCTTCCTTTGATTCTCTCTGAACTGCCTGGTCGTTTTAATGTTTAATGTCAACCATTTGTGCAGATAGCATGAAGTAGAGAAGATCGCCGATGCTAACGTTAGCATTTCTCCCCCGGGCTTAAATGGTGTATTATAGAATGATCACACCGGTGACAGTACTATTCAAAGGGTTCACGAAATATGACTACTACTCTTACTGTTTAACATTTTGGGTTACTTAATGTTACTTCATGTTAAGGCTAATACAAATGACAAGGCTGTAATGCTAACTAACGTGCTAGCTACTAGCTAGGTAGCTAACTTGATCAAGCCACTCCTGGTCCTTTCATCAGACGGGAAGCAAAAGAACGAGCAAGACCCATTGCTGGTGTAATAACAACCTGGTACTAAGCACACAGGCATCTTGTTAAAGTTATCTTATCGTAGCCAGCGCCATATAGATAGATTATATCTATATGGCGCTGATCTTAGCTATCTCTTAGTGGAGGAAAACAATTGTGACATCACTTACGCGACTCTGGGATTTGTAGTCTTTCTAGTTACGTATTTTTCATAGTCTTATATTTCAACAGTTTTACGACAAACTGTGACTTTTCTGACATGGAAATTATTTTTTAAGATTGACAAACATCATATGTGTAATTCATGGCACAATTCAAACGGGATCGAAAGATAAGTTTTCTCTCTCCATTGACTTCAATACATTATTTTTCCGAAATAAGGTCCCATGGGGCGGAAGTAGATGGGCGTGACTTCGCCACTCTATTGTGTTTGTGCAAAAATACCAGGAAATGATGTTTTCAGTCTTGTTCGTATATTTTGGTTTGTTTACAAATCGTTTTTATTCTGTTGCATTTCATATGGGAACATGTGGGCCTAAATCTGAGGGAAAGTCTTTGTAAGAGTAACTGCATAGGCTTAAGTTATGTATATTTAGTTATTTCTTTAATTATTGACAAAGCTATTGACAGGAGTTCATCATTTGAAATAAACATTATCAATAAAATATAAGTCTAAAAATCTTGATGAAGTCAAACCGAAACATGTTCTCTGTATAATATTACTGTATGGTCAAACTGAGTTCCAGGGTTCATTTCAGGTCTGTGTTGTCTGGTCTCCTGCCAACAGGGGGCAGTACAGCATCTCTGTGGTGTGTAGTAAGAGTATGACCCCAGGAAGAAAGGTTTCCTGATGGGAGGCTCTTCAGTAGAACCATAGATAGAACAGCACATACAGTGATGAACACACAGAGTAACGTGTTCTTAGAGTCAGTCATAAAACACACAAGATGATCCTCCTCTTCTGCACAGCCCTTCGTGTCATACTGGTTTCAGGTAATAGAACTAAAGATTTCTTATCAATAATCACAGTTTTTGATGTAAAACCCCATGATAGCATATTGTTTTTCCACAGGTTCCTCTCTGAGTGACCTCGTCTCACAGACTCCAGCTTATATGTACAAAAACCTCGGAGAAGAAGCCGTCATCAGCTGTTCTCACAGTATTGAAAACTACGACAGAATCCTGTGGTACAAACAAATGAAGGACAGACAACTGCAGTTCCTCGGGTACATCTTCGCAACTCAGAAAAACCCAGAGCCTGGCCTGGGGGTGAAGATGGATGGAGATGCAAATATAAATAAGAACTGCACACTGACAGTTGAAAGGCTGAGTGAGAACAGCAGTGCAATTTATTTCTGTGCTGCCAGTCAACACAGTGCTGCAGGTCTCTGCACCTCCTGTACAAAAACCTCCTCAACACGGTTCATTTACAGCTCTGTGCACCTGGAACATCACTTCCAACCAATGTCTATGTTCCTGCTGATTACCATCACAGATTATAATAACAGGAGGTCGTCCTTCCTGCAGAGAAATGTAACTTCCTGTTATAACAAGCGGCATTAGAGACTCAGGATTAACAGGATCACCATCGAGACTAAATATAATTATATTACTTTAGTTGTCCTACATGCAGTCGAGTATAATTGAATATATTGCAGTTTTAGAGCTGCAACGATTTGTGGTTAATCGATTAGTAGATCGACAGAAAAAAAAGCTGTCTATTTTGATAAGCTATTCAATTCTATCATATTGTGTTTGTGCAAAAATACCAAGAAATTATGTTTTCAGTCTTGTTCGTATATTTTGGTTTGTTTACAAATAGTTTTTATTCTGTTACATTTCATATGGGAACATGTGGGCCTAAATCTGAGGGAAAGTCTTTGTAAGAGTAACTGCGTAGGCTTACGTTACGTATATTTGGTTATTTCTTTAATTATTGACAAAGCTATTGACAGGAGTTCATAATTTGAAATAAACATTTTCAATAAAATATAAGTCTAAAAATCTTGATGAAGTCAAGTCAAACCGAAACATGTTCGCTATATAATATTACTGTATGGTCAAACTGAGTTCCAGGGTTCATTTCAGGTCTGTGTTGTCTGGTCTCCTGCCAACAGGGGGCAGTACAGCATCTCTGTGGTGTGTAGTGAGAGTATGACCCCAGGAAGAAAGGTTTCCTGATGGGAGGCTCTTCAGTAGAACCATAGATAGAACAGCACATACAGTGATGAACACACAGCGTAACGTGTTCTTAGAGTCAGTCATAAAACACACAAGATGATCCTCCTCTTCTGCACAGCCCTTCATGTCATACTGGTTTCAGGTAATAGAACTAAAGATTTCTTATCAATAATCACAGTTTTTGATGTAAAACCCCATGATAGCATATTGTTTTTCCACAGGTTCCTCTCTGAGTGACCTCGTCTCACAGACTCCAGCTTATATGTACAAAAACCTCGGAGAAGAAGCCGTCATCAGCTGTTCTCACAGTATTGAAAACTACGACAGAATCCTGTGGTACAAACAAATGAAGGACAGACAACTGCAGTTCCTCGGGTACATCTTAGCAACTCATAAAAACCCAGAGCCTGGCCTGGGGGTGAAGATGGATGGAGATGCAAATATAAATAAGAACTGCACACTGACAGTTGAAAGGCTGAGTGAGAACAGCAGTGCACTTTATTTCTGTGCTGCCCGTCAACACAGTGCTGCAGGTCTCTGCACCTCCTGTACAAAAACCTCCTCAACACGGTTCATTTACAGCTCTGTGTGCACCTGGAACATCACTTCCAACCAATGTCTATGTTCCTGCTGATTACCATCAGAGATTATAATAACAGGAGGTCGTCCTTCCTGCAGAGAAATGTAACTTCCTGTTATAATCGTAAGATAGTTCTCTTAATGTTTACAGTATAGAAGGAATTAGAGACCAAATGATTCATTAACTAATCTGGAGATTAATTTGCATATCAATGAACATGAACATAATCACAGTTGCAGGACTGAGAATTGACGGACTGGTATTTTACTGCATGAATTGTGTGAGTTTGTGAAAAATATTGTTGTTGAAAGCCACTTGGATAATCCAATCGACAAGACCTTTCTTAGATCTGTAATTGACTTACTTTACCAATAACTCATGGTAACACGGGGTGAGTATCTCGTTGAGGGGTAAGATGTGTCGTGCACAATGTCACCGCCCACCTATGACTAGGGAGGGTTAACCTAAAAAAGGGGGGTTCAAATAGCTGCTTCATTCATTGCAATGACACAGAGTCTTTCACATCACAGATTCCTCTTACAGTGACAGAGTCCACCAGACTCCAGCTGAGATGATCATCGGCCACGAAGGAACAGCCACAATCAGCTGTACTCACAGTATTGACAACTACAACTTAGTCCTCTGGTACAAATTGTCAAAGGATACAAAACTGCAGTTCCTCGGGTACCTGATAGCAGCTCAAGCGGGAACGCCGGAGCCTGGCCTGGGTGTGAGGATCGGGGGGAGAGCACACGCGGGATACAACTGCACGTTAACCATTGAAGGGCTGAGTGAGAGCAGCAGTGCAGAGTTCTTCTGTGCTGTCAGTCTGGGACACACTGCTGCATGTCACTGCTCCTCAGTGCAAAAACCTCCTCAACATAAGCTGCCTTTATCTCTGTGCAACAGCTCTGTGCACCTGGAATAACCCGCTCAGAACAGTGGTGGTTCTGAGAGCGATGGGAGATTATTACGCAGATATTCATCCCGTCTGCTGTGGCTGCTTCTCATGTTAAAGTGCTCCATTAAGCTTTCCCTTAAAACTGTAACTTGAATTATTATTTTTTTTTAATCATCCCAGCAGGTGGAGCTGTAGCTACATAGATGCAGAACTATGGGATATGATGAGGGGAGGGGGCATTAATGAGAGTCTGCAGGGGTCTGTAGTTCAGTCGAGTTTCTGCAGCGTTCTGTGTTCATTCAGAGAGGAGGACAACATGCCAACATTACTCTTTCTATCATCGATCATTGGTAATCACATTTTTAGGAGTACAGTTTGAATCTACCAAATAATGATTGACATTTTGATTTTGATAATTGATGCATCGTTTGAGTAATTTTTCCTGCAAAAGTAAGGGAAAATGTTCAGTCTCTCTCACATGCAGAAGTCTTGCTTTTCTCTGTTTTGTATCAGACTAATCTCTTTGTACTGACAGAACAAGACATTTAAAGACCTCGGAAATTGAGAAACTGGAATTGAAAGTGTTTTTTTACATTTTTTAGACCAACTGATTGATCGATAAATCCAGGGAATAATCTGCAGATTCACCGATAATGAAAACAGCTGTATATATAGATTCTAGTTGATTAATTCCCTTTTTTCTAGGTGTTTGTCTGGGTGTTGAGGTGAGGCAGACCCCTGCAGAGCTCCTGATGAGTCCAGGAGACAAGGTGCAGCTGGTCTGCAGCCATGAGCAGGCCGACTTCACCTTCATGCAGTGGTACCAACAACCCCCCGGAGAGAGAGCTCTGAAACGCATCGGACACTTGAACTTTGGCAACAAAGAATACGAGGAGCCTTTCAAAGAACATTTTAAAATGTCTGGAGACCTGAGTGGAGACGAAGCGAAGAACGCGTCTCTGTTCATAGACACGCTGAAGGCAGAGGAGCACAGTGCCGTGTATTTCTGCGCTGCCAGCTACGCACACTGACTGCACAGACCCCCTGCTCACACAAAAACTACCGTTACTGTTGGGAGTCATTCAAGTAAGAGCCAGAATCAATACAATAAACATGTTACTTTAGCACATTTCTATTTCTAAGTTCTATTTTATTTAATTTTGTATATTCCAATGTTACTTTATTGGTTTTATACAGTAAGCATATATTTATTTTATTTTAACTTTTTATTGCACATTCTTGCTTTAATCTTAAGGTTTGTATAAATGTTATTATATTTTTATCTTTAATTTTATTTCATTAAATCTGTCTAAAAACAATTTCCCCTGGGCTGAATAAAGTATTCTGATTTTAAACACCAAGTCTAAGTTTCATCAAGCATTATTTGTGTGACTTGGTCAAAATAAATCCAACTTCTACATTTTATTTTTGACCAATGTATTATTATCAGGCAGGATTTGTTATCTACGTCAGTGAAAATTAAGAAATACTCAAACCGTTATAACTAAACAACTTTGTCAAATATAAAAAACCTTGCATGCACACTTTCATCTGCTTACATTATATTTATATCATATTTTGCTAACATCAGATATCAATACAGCTAACCAAAATGTTAAGCATTACCAAAGTCGTTAACTTACATTGTTTGCAAACGTTAGTTGATTTTGACCCACATTACGTGATGAAACAGTTCAGACATTTTCTCCTGATTTGTTGTTCATAAAAATGCCATTTAGTGTCAAAATGTTCTGACAGTATTGAGAGGCGAAGTCCCTCCCTTTCCGGTGGACCTCCATGAGACCTTATTTCGGAAAAAGTATGTATTGAAGTCAATGGGGAGAGAAAGATTATCTTTCGATCCCGTTTGAATTGTGCCACGAATTACACATATGATGTTTGTCAATTTAAAAGATAATTTTACAAGTCAAACAAATAAAAATGTGTCGTAAAACTGTGAAGTAACACATTTTTTTGTGTGAAACCGCTCAATGAACTACATCTCCCGTCTCGCACCACACACCAAGACGGCCGTCACGTTGGCACATTTCACTTCTTTCTTTCAGAATGAGGCGGAAAGTAGTAAAAGAGGTGAAAATCACTCCAAGTCTGGGCATGTTGAGAGCTGTACATACACACAAGGGGAGTTAGTCGGTTCCGTAAGAGCCAGCATGCGGGACCGGGATTCTGGGATTTGTAGTCTTTGTAGTTGCGTATTTTTCATAGTCTTATATTTCAACAGTTTTACGACAAACTGTGACTTTTTTGACATGGAAATGATTTTTTAAGATTGACAAACATCATATGTGTAATTCGTGGCACAATTCAAACGGGATCGAAAGATAATCTTTCTCTCCCCATTGACTTCAATACATCATTTTTCCGAAATAAGGTCCCATGGGTCGGAAGTAGATGGGCGGGACTTCGCCTCTCTATGTGGCTTGTGAAAAATGGGTCAAGTGTTTATTTTATTGACTATAAAGAAAACAAATGTGCAATAATCTGTGTTTCACATCTCTGGTTGGAGATAAAGGACTCAGACTGCTGCTAGTTGCTAAAGGGGCGTGGCAACAAGAAACCATGTGACACAGAAACAGCAAATGGTGTTTCCTTTCTAAAACTTCTTCTGACTTGATACCCTTATCTCCTGCAGACATCATCAGTAGTTAGGTTGACCTGATGTCAGTATTATGAATCTGTAAAAGTCTTTGACACAAACTTTGGAAAAAGCATTTGAGTATCTACTGTACTTCGAGGAAGTCAAAATGATCCGTTTTCTCTTTTGTTGTTGCCTGTCAGGTAATAACTTAAAGACAATTACCTCCTCCTGTCAAAATGGTTTAGTTTATAATCAGTCAGGATTTAAATACATGTTCTCTCTCTTCCAGGTGTTAGTCTGGGTCTTGATGTGCGTCAGTCTCCCTCTGATCTCATCAAATCACCTGGAGACAAAGTGCAGATCTCCTGCAGCCATGACAGAACGGACTACAGGGTGATTCTCTGGTACCAGCGCTCACCTGGAGACACAGCTCTGAAACTCATCGGGTATTTGAATTACCAAGCTGTCACAATGGAGCAGCCATTTGAAGAGGAATCCCCTCTGAACTTTACAAAAACTCTGAACTATCTTCACTCATGAGCTTTTTAATAAGACGTGGAATAAACTGCTCACAGACACACCTGCATTTGTGGTATTATTTTTGGTTTGATGCAATCATTTCATCATCAGCGGATTCTGTTTCTATTTTAGAAGTGAAGTTGATGAACCGTTTGGAGCACACCATCATCTAAAGCTGTTGAGTTCCACGTTAGATGCAGATGAATTTATCTTGTTAAAAGCGTATATTAATGTCATATGAGTGAATAGTAATCAAAGAGAACCACCACCCTTAGTATTCTTTCTTGAACTAATGAATCCATTTCCTCCTTTGCTGTTATTTTTGGCAGAAATATATAATTATTTATGGAGCAAAGCCACAAAAACAGAAAAGACAATAACTAAGCGTTATAGTACGAAATAGTTAAACACCAGTTACGTTTTCTGCCTGCTGGGAGCTTTCTGATACCATTGGAAACCTTTGTTTACTTCAGGATCATAGTGACATCACAATGCAACACTCACGCTTCTATTGGCAAGCGCTTCAACACATCGTACATAATAGGCTAAGGGGCGGGACATCTCCAAACGGTTGACCAATCACATCATAGCGGGCCAGCTAACCAATCAGAGCAGACTGGGTTCGGTCAAGCATAATTAAGGCTTTACTGTCACAGGTTAATCCACCTCCCATTGTTCAGGAAGAGGAGACAAAACAAAAAGACAGGCAGACTCTTCCTCCCCAAAGAACAAACTGACTGAATGATAGAAAGTGTTTTAGTGTCAACTTATTCTCTGATTTCTTTACATCACTTCCTGTCCCTCCTCCTGATCCACAAAGCTGAGAGACTGTAGCTGCTTCTTCACATTCAACATGAAGCCATCTCAATGCATCGTTTCCATCATCATCGTCTTCTGGGTTAAAGGTATTGCACATTAATAAAGCCATTTTGTCTTACTTAGGCACAAGTTCACCAGTCAAGGTGAAAGATATCAAAGCTCTTGATTTTCCAGTAAATGTAACAGCTCCAAGTGCCAGATAACTTAATGGCATCTTGATCTCTTTCCAGGAGTTTCCCTCAGTAATGACAAAGTGTTTCAGACTCCCTCTGAACTGATAAAGGAACCAAACAGTGAAGCCACGCTGAGTCTGGAGCATCAGATCCCAAGCTACGACACTATTCTGTGGTATCAGCGCTCAGCAGGAGACACGTCTCTGAAGCTCATCGCCTACATGTATTATGGAACTGTTAACGTGGAGCCGTCGTTCAAAAGCCACTTTAACGTGAGTGGGAATGGACAGACAAGAGTTTATCTCCACATCCTGAAGTTGGGACACCCTGAACACAGCGCAGAGTATTTTGGAGCGGCAAGTAGGCACAGTCATAAAGACAGTGAGGCTCTCAGACAAAAACCTGCAGGAGGATCCAGAAGATAACAAACCACTGAAACCAGTATATAGCCCTCAGAATATCAACTGACACTTATAACTCCCCAACATTTAACAGTACTCATCCGATCATAGGGTGGGTGGGGGCTATGGGGATCTTCCATTTAAAGTGATGTTTAAAACTCAGTTAATGGGGCTCAGTTTTATATTGCTTCAGTTTATAATCGTAACGGATCGAAAAGTTCAGATACATTTTTCAATAAATGATGCGCTTCCACAAACAACATAATTATTACATTCAAATGAAGTACATAATTCAAGTTTACATTAACTTTGGATAATAACACGGGAGAAATGAGCGGAAGGGCTCTTTTTTCCTCTCTCTCTCTCTCCCGTCAGTATCTCATGCAGCTCACTGATCCAGTAATGAGTGACCCGACAGTGAAGAATAAATATATTTATAACTAGTTTAGCTTGTTCCAGAGGTAGATACAATAGCTAAGTGTGTTAGGTCTAACTCTTAGTGTGTGTGTTGCTCCGCTCACCGGTCCGTCACAGCGGGTGGAGCTGCAGGATTTCTGCTTCACACACGTTGCATAGCGCTATTTTATTGTCTTTTCCGGACACCTTAAAATACTGCCAGACCGGTGAAGCCATTTTGGCGAGCTTGTTTTGCCGCACAGAGAAAAGTGTATTCATGTATTTTGCATCATGTGATCGGCTCTCCTGATCGGCCTTTATAGAGAGCACCGATCACACTATTAAGAGTGAATATCGGCCAATAACAATCGGCGGCCGATCGATCGGAGCATCCCTAGATCAGAGATACAGAGCACTTGAATGGATTTCCCTCTCTCTCACATCACGGAGGTTGCATTATGTATATCTGAAGTAGGGATGTGCGATTATGGCAAAAATCATAATCATGATTATTTTGGTCAATAATTGATATCACGATTATTAAATACGATTATTCATTGACTTTGAAAACATCCATTTATTGAACTTTAAAACAAATACAAATAATAATTTGAACAGTATCTTTTTAACTGTTGATTACCCTGAACGTATAGTTAAACTGAAAAACCAATACAAAAATAAATAAAATAAATGATACATTTAAATAAATATCAAAATAATAAATACCAATAAACAAGATCAACAAATATTTTAGAGCGCACTTCCACAAGCTACTAAACATATATAAATATGATAAATACAAATAAATTAGACCAAAATAAATTAGATCAAATATGTTGCACTGTCACAACCAAGCAAAGCAAAATAATCGTTTTTTTCGATTATGTTGTTTTCGTAATTGTGGCAGGCCAAAATCGTAATTGCGATTAAAATACGATTAATTGCACAGCCCTACTATGAAGCTATCTGTGTGTTCAGTTGCTGTATGTTAATATCCCTCTAAGTGTAAAGATGCTGCATCGAAGCATTTTTACAGTCAAATACAAATAAAATAATTCAAGTAACATTTTATTTTTATTTTAAAGCACTAGAAATCATTTTTTAAATCCTGAGAATCTTAAGAGTGATATCAGGGTTTGTACAACTAGTAAATTCAAGCACTTTTTTAAAAAACTATATCAAAGCCTTTACCATTCAACCTAATGTCAGATAAATGACATCAAACAAAACACATTTTACAGAATTCCATCATACCCAGAGCAATACATGTA